CTCCCCAAAAATCAATCGACGTGTGGGAAAAAAAAGAGCCTGACAACAATATTGATATAGTTTTGTATAATGTTAATACAGATTGGCATGTAAGATCGTATGCTTTATGCAGTAAATTAGAGATTGAAGAGTGACAGGCTGGTTTTTAATTGGATGTAGTTTTTAGTGATTTTGGAACATAGTAGACAAAATATTGGTTCGATCATATATCTTGTTCTTGAAAAAAACAGATCACATAGATCAATCTTTTTTCTACAAGAATAAAAATTACAAAACAACTTCCTTATCGTAAACAGTACTTTTGATCTTGGTGAAGATTCTCTATTTATTTCCTCCACTGCCCTCTCCCCTTCTCTCTTCTTCATGCTATGTGAAACTACCTGTCATCATGACAGCGGAAGACAAGATCAGGATCTTCACGCTGCAAACAAACTTCGGATGCTTCTTCCTCACAAACTCCACCACCGCTTCCACCATGGCGTCCGCCACCGCCGACGGGCTGGCCCCTCCCTGACCTAACAGGTAGACAAGGACTGGCGGTGATGATGATGTGAGGATGGCATGAAAAGACAGTGAAACTTGATGACCTGCTAGTGTCCCTCGCAGGCTGCAGAGTTCATTACAGCCACGATATGAAAGTGTTGAATTAAACAAATAAGTCACTGATGATTTAGTTCTTCTTAGTGTCCAACCCAGCACCTACAGTGTCACAGTGTCTAAGTGGCTGTTAAGACTGCAAGTGTATTTTCGGGTAAAGCCAATACATGGCTCCACTGCACTCAATTTGAATTCATTCTTCACATAATAAATAAATAAGTAGGACTAACTTAAGAGTATTAACAACTAGGTGACTGGGAAAAATAAACACATCTAGGATAATAATAGTAAGGTTTTCTGACTCAAGACTTTTAAGGAAGGAACTTATTTCTCTAGATAATTGATGAAAAGGACTATGTTGTCAGATTAGCAGTCTCATTAAGCAGAGAATGGTATATTTCTTTTATATCCATCTGTAAATGTGATGTGATGTAAATATGTACTGTTGTTTTTAATAATATTCACACTGAGCATTTCATATCTGTTATTATTGATTATTGTTAAACACAGTTTATAGACTCATTACTACCCACAGCTGGGCTCCGAGGGCCTCTTTGAATTGTATCAGGTGTTGAAGTGTTTCTGACTCTAAATCAAATACAGGTCTGATTTCTTGCAAGCTGACTTCAGTGTGACCAGTCATATCCAAATTCATGTGACCTTTACTTCGCTCTAGACTGACATTCATCATGTGGGACTGTTCACACTGGAATCTGATATGAGAATCATTACTACACCATTACCTCTGTACTACCCTCATGAATCCAAAAAAGCCACTTCCTGCTGTAAATAAATTACCCAGATGAATGCATACTGCACACAAGAGTCTCACGCTGTGTTTGATCTACCATGGCCTTTAAAACATGTTATGGACCTCAAATGAATAAATTCTTTGATCCATATATTAATTATGAATTTATTCTACCGTTTTACAGTTTTTTTTGCTGTAATTACATGGGTGCTTGGAAAGACTTTGTACGGACTTCTGCAGGTTCCTGAGAAGTTTTTGCCTTTCTGATGGAATCTACTGCAACTGCACATGCATCTTCAGTCTGTTCTAATATAACAAGATTAGTGAATAATACCCAATAAATTAAAGTTTGACTATAAGTGCAAACAACATGGCGTCACAACGAACAGTGAAATAACAAAATGAACAAATAAGAAAAGAATCCTCTTTAAAATCACACACAGTAGAAATGACACTTACTCAGGTTCCAATAATAGTGGTGTATGTGTGCGTTTTTTTTTGCACAGACCTGTTCCCAGGGCGGGGAAGGCGACAGAGTTGAACTTGTGCTCCTCGCAGAACTGCAGCACTGCGTAAACCAAGTCTTGGATTTTTGGAGGATCCCTCTGGCCAACAACGTGGATGATCTGTCTGCTGGGCAGCATTCCGGCTGACGTCATGATCATCAGACGAGGCTGGTAACCCGGAGAATTCACTACAGAGAGGAAATGTAGCCTAAAGTTGGTGGACTCACAATAGACAGATTAACAAGATTATCTATTATATTAGCTAAAGGTAACAGATAAATGGTTGAAAGATCCAGCTGCGGCCACTGCAAAAATGCAAACTTGACCACAGCAGCCTAAACAATTCATTAAATGTTCAACTGTATAAATAAAATCACTGTAATGGTCCAGTGTGTAACATTTAGGAGAAACTATTGTCAGAAATGTAATATAATATTCATCAATGTTTACATTAGTGTATAATTATCTGAATATAAAAATTGGCTGTGTTTTTGATACCTTAGAATGAGATGTTTTATCCTCTTCTGGCGGAGTCCGCCATGTTTCTACAGTAGCCCAGAACGGACAAACAAACACTGATTCTAGAATGTTTCATTTGTGCTTGGAAGGGGAGGGTGAAGTGAGGGAGTTTCAATCTGCAACTATACTGCTAGATACCATTAAATCCTATACACTGGACCTTAAACATACAATTTAAAATCAATTGAAATGCACACATTGAAACATTACAGGTGGTGTCAATGACAGGGTACTAGGGATAGGGATGTGTAAACACTGAATTAAACAATTATAAATTATTTTTGCATTTATACATTTTGATTCATCTGTATCATTTTTTGTGGATATACAAAGGAAAGCCTTTACATTGCTTTGCATTAACCTAGGTGATCCTGGTTTTCTGTCACATTGGCGGCACAAATGTTCAGGCTGTAGTTAATATGGAGAAACTCTTTCCTGCTCATAAGAAAGTGCCACAAATCCTTAACAATTACTTTGAAATAAATTCCATTGACTCCCTCAATAATTACAGTAAATGTACCTTTGAGCAATTGTGTGAATGGGAAGGATGATGCTGGGAAAATATCAAACAGTGTGAAAGGTTCAATTCCAGCTACGTACCGATCTGTGCGCACTCCATCTGAACTGCTGCTCCAGCGCTGTCTAAGATCGCCTTGGACACTCCTGAGAAATACAAGAAGGAGGATAAGTGCTGCCGCTGTGAGTCAGAACTTATATAAACTACAAAAAAGTAAAAAACTTTAATGACTGATTGTTTTATTGACACTAACAAAAGTGGTTCTCAGTGGGAGGACAGATAACTCTAACCCTGTTTAAGCATTGCATTAAAGATATGTTTATCTGAGACATGTTAAAATGTAGTGTAACAGGATCACAAGTAGTAGTAGTAGCTAGTTACTCATAAATATAACTTTTAATTCACAAAAGTAAGACTGTTTCTTCATCTTACAAAGGTTACTCAGTCTCACTTTTAAAAAGTAGGATAATTTGGTAAAACAGCAATAGTGGAAATCATTCAACCTAAGCAAAAAGTTCTTCAAGAATCTTTCCCATATTTTTTTGACAAAAAAAGGACTTTAGTCAGTAGTAGTATTTTAGCAGAGTTTTCAGGTGGTAAACAAAATTCTGGAGTAACAGTGCCAGGGTCTTTGTAGTGTGTCAGTGTGATTAACCTTTTTAGAGTTACGGAGCAATAATTTCTAGAATATGGAACTTCCCAATGGTTGGATTGCAATTACTTCCATTGTTTCTGGCGAGTGGCGTCTCAACCACTGACGCTTCAAGCTCAAGCCGGGAGTTTTTAATAATTCCCATGGACTGCATAGATATTTTGAGACAGAAATGGTGGGAAAAAAACACAGTGCGCGAGCGATTTCCTCTCCCTACCATCACACTGTCAAATGTGCAATCTCTTAACAACAAAATTGAGGAGCTTACAAAGCAGACTTCAAACTGTGTATTCTTGTATAAATATCTCTGCAAGTCAGTTTTCATTTAAATTAACTGAAGAGAAATTGAAATTCCAAAAGAAAAAAGGTTATCAGTGATGTAAAAATATAACTGCAAGCATTCTGATACTTATTTCTTATTTAATTGACAAGACGCACTGGAAAACACACAAAGTGCATGAGTTGCCACATTTCTGGCCACCTTGGGATTTGAATCCTGGACCTCTGCATGCTCTGAGAACATCTTCTCACAAAGTGAGGCAATTACATAATGTGCAAAAATGGGGTATTTTATCTGTTTAAACTTGAAATGTGCACCAATTTGTGGATGAGATTTCCAATTCCTCTGCTGAGGAACTGTAGTTGTTAGTGTTTCTGAGACCCAGATAGTTTTAGAGCAGAAGAAGAACGCCTCAAAATGGGATGGTCCTTCAAATGAAGTGTTTTATGACATTTACATTTTACGACCCAGTGCTGCCAGGAGGGATAGTCACCTGATCGAAGGCTAAAGTCCTGATTGGAGGAGTTGATGATGACATCACAGGCCTCCTTGGTGATGTCTCCAGACGA